TGTTTCTCTTTCTTTCTTTCTTCTTCTTCTTATTCTTCTTCTTCTTCTTCTTTCTTTTTTTTTTCTTTTTTTTTCCCTTTATTGTATTTAATTTAATATTGATTCTCCCACTTTTTTGTAATACTTTTACTTAAAATCTTTTTCAGTTTTTTCAATTTTTATTTATCTTTTCATTTTTACAAACTTAATCGATCAAGTGAAGAAAAAGTTGAGAAATGTTATATATTATCAATTTTGTATCACTATTTTATATCACATCTTCCTTGGATGTATTTATATTTTCATTTATTATGATAATTATGAAAGAAGTAATAAAATCAAATGGAAATTATACTCACCTCTTGAAGTCTGAAGAAAATATAATTAGATTCACATATTTGACATAATTATATTGATCTCCCTTAAAGTTTTAATTCACGTAACACTTACCTTTTTTTATTAATAATTTGTTAGTTATATAAATGAAAAAATGATGTCATTATCTCTTTCTTACTAAAGTGTGTATTTATCTATATTTATTTTAATATCTGAACTTATGTACTCTTTCTATTATCAATATAATCTATTTTGACCATTCTTTAAAAAAAATGTTAAAAATGCAGTGATTTTATCATAATTTCAAGGTAAGATGAATGTAATTTATCTTAAAATTAAAATGAGAAAATTGGTGATAAATCCAATTTAGAGGCTGTCTAAGGCATTAGGCCCAGTGCATTTTTTTTTATTAGTGACAGATTCACCTTTTGTCAAATAGTTTGGTGAAATGTCCTTTTACTTGTTTTGAAAGATATTTTATTTTCAATTTTACACCCATAATTTATCTGTTGACTTTTTTTATCTGTTGAATTTTTTGGACTATTTGTTAAAATTATTTTCTATCTATTCAAAATTTTCATCTATTTGTCCAAATTATTTTCTACCTGTTCAATTTTTTTGGTCTATTTGTTCAATTTTTTTCTGTGTAAATTTTTTATCTTTTCAAATTTTATTTGTGCAAATTTTTTGTCTATCCAAATTTTTTATTTGTCCAACAATCGGTCCAGCTGTTGGTGCCCAAGTATGCATTATTTTGTATTTCCTTCTCTATTTTTAAGATTTTTAAGTTCCAAAACAAAGTTTTCGATCTTGGGCCTCCAAATTTTCTTTTAAAGCACTTTAATTCGGTAATTTAATAAGCCCATTTTGAAATACCTTCTTCACTAGTAGTGCTCGAGGTCGTTAGTGATGGTAAGGAAGAGAAGAGATAGTGAAAACTTATTTTGGAAACATATGAACATATCATTTTTTAAAAAATTATAAAATTTTGGAATCAATTCTACTTTTTTGAAAACAATAACAACATATAAAATAAGTTTCTATTTGTAGCTTTTATTTAGTGTCACTCCAACGTGGAGCTTGGACGAGTGTTATCACAGAATCCCCACTATCGGTTGGTAATCCACCCTGAGTAGTGGTGGCAGCCACAGGCTGATACACCTTTCTTAGCCAACTCCTACCAATTAAAGCTTCACTTCGCTTAACAATCCCACAATCACATGTATTCCTTCAAACCCTCACACTCATAGCCCATGTTTCAGAAATTGTAACAGTTTGGGTTGAGATCCAAGTTTTCTATTGTTTCTTATACATTAAATAGTCTAATTGATTTTATGGAAATTTTTTATGATGTATTAATCTCTTTACTTCAACGTCAAACTTAAAAATTTCAGTCGAAAATTATTTTTGTACTAAAATTGGGGGAGTCACTTTTTGATTTAATTGGATTTCGTATTTTTTTTTCCCTTTTGAATCCAAATGGGGGGTATTTTCTTATTTACATTGTAAACTTAAGTAAATGAAATATAAATGTAAAAGGCTAAATTAAAGTATTTACTTAAATGGTTACATATGAAAATAAGGTTGATGTGCCAGGAACGCCTTAGGAACTGTGCTGTGTAACTTGCTATGTCTAGGATAACCGCTTAAGTGGTCAAGTGGTCGCTCAAGTAGAGATGCAAGGCTCCTGGTATTTTCACTGTAGACCTGCAAAACTTTTGAGAGATTACGTTCACCGCTTGAGCAATGAAATGTTTGCTCGAGCGATGTGATGCCCCAAAATCTGAGATCGTCAAATAAGTACAATAATACAACACAAACATGATAGATAACCAAAACATCTTAATATACATATATAACCAGAGATAATATCGCAGATAACTCATTTGTGTTCTATTACAGGATTACAAAACATTGCCAAACCAAAAGTCAAAAATAAATAAATAAACAAATAAGTCTTCAAATGAACCACGGCTGAAACACTTCGTCTTGTTTGCATTCGAAATAATATTCACCATTGCAAACTGCTTCATTACTTGGCATGACACGCCATGAGCTTGGTATGCCCAGTAAAAACGCACACACTCTCCTATCTTCTATCAACCAATCAACCATATACAGAACAAATCGGGTAACACATAAAACAATACTAGAATAAGGTTCTCTGAATTAGTAGTTAGACTAGACATCTAGAATCCTCCAAAGTGATCCTTCTTGCTAACCTCAAAGGATTGGATACCGGACTATTCAGAACTCTCCCTTTTGCTGCTTTGTAGACCTTCCCACCTATGCCCACACCGGGTATATACCGAGTAGGGATACTAGTGGACCTCAAAAGGGATGGCCAAACAAGTGGGCTCACTTACACCCAAATTGTTCCTAGGGCTTCCTTACACCCTACACATACCATACCAAATCGTGTCTAGGGCTCGCTTACACCCTGCACATACCATGCCAAAGGGCTCGCTTACACCTTGAAACCACCGCATAGAGTCTGAATACATCCATGCCATCCTAGGGGTTCGCTTAGACCGTTTGCGCAGGACTTAACTCATTTGGTATTAATTCCATCACAATTCATCTCATTCATATGTATATTACATAAATCATTTCGAAACACTAGTGTGAATGTCACCCATTACCAACCCCTTTTCATTTCCCAATTATTAGATATTTTGATAAGCGAGTTAGTCACATTCGGTAATACAAACAAGCATGAGGCAAACATAAGAGAGGAAATATAGCTCATGATAATCATACATAAGTATGGTAAGGCAAGCAAACAACATTAGGCATGCTTTGAAATACTTAGAAACAAATGACCTAATAAGGCACAATTTTTAGCACTTTTTAAAACTGCAGAGTTAAAAAGAATGCTTTGGTAAAAATACTTCCATGTCATATTAGGGGCTGAAATTGTACAGAAACAATAAACAACATGTCTATTTCAGTTCCAATTTTCAGAATTTGCACAGCACATCCAAAAATTCATCTATAAGCTATGTTCGAAAACCTATCCAGATTTATCACCTTTTGGGAAAACTAGCTTTCCTCTCAATCTACTCGATGATTTTCACCCAAATAAATTCTGTAGGAAAGAGGACTCAGAATTCTAAATTTTGACTAAAGAACCAACATAAGATGAAAATTCTGTAGGAAAGAGGACTCAGAATTCTAAATTTTGACTAAAGAACCAACATAAGATGATTTTTCTGAAATTTTATAAAATTGCAAGTGGACTATTTTCAGAGATTTAGGACCAGATTTCTTAAACTAAACATTCCTGCCCTAAAAAAACACAGTGAGGGGCTAATAAAATTATCATAAGCTCTAAACACACCAAATATCCTATATTAAATTTAGATTTGATAAAAAAATACATTTGATATTTCTTTTAAAATAGAGAAGTTGTAGTAGTGCATATTTTGAACAAAATTCGAAGACAAAGTTACCAATTCATACCCACACTTGCATACACACCAAAAACCCTATTTACCATTAATATATAACACAAGAGAGCATACTCGAAAATTGGATGAGATGGGTGAAAGAAATGGAGAAGACAAGAGAGAGATGTGGTTCTTACCTTAACACAAGAAAGCAACTTTTCTTCCTTTCTTGTTTTTTTTCCCCCATCTTCTTCTCCACTTCCCTCTAGTCACAATCTTCTCCTCTCACCCTCTCCTTGGCTGTTGAAAATGTGAGTAAGGAATTGGGGAAAAGGTCTCAATTTATAGGCAAGGAGTTTGGGTTGAAAAGACAATTTTACCCTCTATCTTAATGACTAAGGAAAGTAGAAGACTAGTAAATATCTAGATATTTTTCTCAAGTCTTCTAGATGGTTCCACACCTAATTTTCCCCAAAATAATATTTATAAATACCTATGTAAATATACATGTTCAAATAAATAATAAATGAAAGAAAAAGGATAAAATGTATGAATTAATTTAGAAACTAGGAGGTAAAATAAATAAAAACCAAGTGTTAGGGTATTTCCAATTATAAAGTGGCATTATAGGATTCAATTATAATAATATACGAAAAAATTATTCTTTATTGGACTATTTTGCAGACTTTTATGAAACTACGGGCTAAAATGCTATTAACCTAAGGCTTAGGGTTTCAAGTGTAATTACCAAAAGTTGTGGTCTTTACAACCTATCCCCTTAAATAAATTTCGTCCTTGAAATCAAATCATACCACACGTCTCAAATAGTTGTGGATAATTTGCCCGTATCGCATCTTCACATTCCCAGGTAAACTCTTCAATACCATGGTGACGCCAGAGTATCTTAAGAAGTTGAATTGTCTTTTCTCACAAGTTCTTTTCTTGTCTGTCCATAATTGCTACTAGTCCTTTCTCAAAGGTAGCGTCTTCGTTGAGTTGAATTTCTTCCCAGTTGATGATGTGAGAAGGGTGCATTATGTACTTCCTTAGCATAATACGTGGAAAACATCATGTACTCTAGCCAATTGCGGGGGTAAAGCCAATTTGTACGCAACGTCAACAATTTTCTGAAGTATCTCGAAGGGTCCGATATATTGAGGTGATAATTTTCCTTTCTTTCCAAAATGAATGATACCTCGGCGAGGTTGAATTTTCAAGAAAATATGATCACTGACAGCGAAAGTTAGAGGTCTTCTTCTTTTTTCTGCATAACACATCTTGAGCTACCACCAATCTTTATCGGATAAGTTTCACTTTTTCTATAGTTTCTTGCACGATCTTTGGGCCCCATAGGCTCACTTCTCTAACTTCGGTCCAACAAACTGGTAATCTGTAGGGCCAACTGTACAGTGCTTCTAATGGAGCCATGCCAACATTGGCCTGGAAACTGTTGCTGTACGTGAACTCTACCAACGGAAGGTGTCGCTCCCAACTCCATTTGAAATTCATCACACAAGCTCTCAACATGTCCTCTAAAGTCTGAATAGTGAGTTCTGACTGTCTGTCAATTTGAGGATGAAAGGCAGTACTAAATCATAATTCAATCCCCAACACTTCTGGTAAGCTTCCCCAGAATCGGGAGGTAAAACGCAGGTCTCGGTCTGACACAATTGATACAAGAATTTTGTGTAGTTGGACAATTTCTTTAATGTAGAAATGACTTAGCGATGTCAAAGTGTCTAAGATTTTATATGGCAAAAAGTGCGCAGTTTTCGTCAAACGATCGGCAATGACCCATGTAACATCGTGTCCCCTAGGTGACCTAGGTAATCGAGTGACGAAGTCCATTCTTACATGCTCCCATTTCCATTATGGTATCGGTAAAGGCTAAAGCATTCCTCCAGGTTGCTGGTGTTCTATCTTTACTTGCTAACACGTAAGGCATCTGTCTATGAATTGAGCCATATCTTTCTTTATTCCGTTCCACCAGTATTGGCATTTTAAGTCTTGGTACATTTTCGTCCCTCCTGGGTGTACTATGAACATCGAATGATGGAACTCTTTCAGAACTTTTTCTTTAAGCGGCTCATCTTGTGGCATAAACACTCTGCCCTGATGTCTCAAACTTTCATCCGAATGAATCATCCAATCAGGTATAGGATCGCCAGATGCTGTTCGTATTTTTATGAACACCACCTCCTGATCATACTTCTGTGACTCCATAACCTCTTTCAGTAATTTAGGCGTAGCAGCGTGAGCACCAAGGTATACCTTCTCGTCCTAAGCTTTCATCTATACTCCGAACTCATTAAGTGCTCCAACCATGCTCATTCCTTGAGTACCAGGCTAACAATAATCCCCCGGTTCTTGTGACTTAGCACATTAGCTTTGCCAAGATGATAAGATAGAGTAAAATGGTAATTTTCGAGATATTTCAGCCATCGTCTTTGTCTCATGTTCAAGTCCTTCTGTGTGAACAAATACTTCAAGCTCTTATGGTCCGTGAAAATCTCAAATTGTTCACCATACAGATAATGACACCATTGCTTTAACCCAAAAACCATCGCTGCCAGCTCTAGATCGTGTGTCGGATAATTCCTTTCATGCAATTTCAGTTGCCTAGAGCTGTAAGCTACCACCTTCCCATTCTGCATTAACACATAACCTAGCCCATGCTTAGACGCATTGCAATACACTATATATCCTACGTCTCACTAAGGAATGATGAGTATTAGGGCACTAGTCAATCTCCTAAGTTCTTGAAAGGATCGTTCACATGCTTTATCCCAATTGTATTTTACCCTTTTTTGCGTTAGACGAGTCATCGACTTGGCCAGTTTGAAAAATTCTTGAATAAACCATCGGTAATAATCGGCCAACCCTAAGAAACTGCAAACTTCGAATACTAAGTTTAGCTGCTTCCAATCTAATATTGTTTCTACCTTGGTCGAGTCCACTGCGATCAGGTGCTTAGACATAATGTGTCCCAAAAATTTGACTTTCTTCAACTAGAACTTGTATTTACTTGATATCGCGTACAAATGGTTTTCTCTTAAAACCTGGAGAACCACTCTCAAGTGTTGCTTGTGTTCTTCTTTAGGCAGTGAATAGACTAGAATGTCATAAAAACCACCACAAATTGGTCCAAGTATGGAGTAAAAATCTTATTCATTAAGCTCATGAACACGGCGGGTTATAGACTCGCCTTTCTTCGCGCCCCCGCCATCGGAAAGGGTTTGAAAAGAAGGCCTCATAGTTCGGACTCTACCTCTGGTTCTGAATCTAGTGTCACAAGTGCAATGTGAAACTGATAAACACCAAAGAGTCCAAATCCGGCAAACCTTTTTGGAAAATCGATTTTAAATCAAATAATGCCAAATTGGACTACTTTGTCAGATACAAAGTCGCCACCTAAATATTTTATTTTTGGGAAAATTTAGGAAAGCCTGACTTATGCTAAAGGTCACGTGTCCGTCATCACCAAAGTTGCCTCGGCTCGAGAACTTGGGTACGAGAGGGGAAGGTCCTGAAATGAGCACCCCCGCTCGCCTGATCAAAGATCAGCCTCTACTAATCATGATATGTCATTTTATAAACCTTATACGTTCTTATTCCAGTTATTAATCTAACCTTACTATGTGATGCACACAAGCAAGTAGAGACTAGTCGCAAGACTTGGAACAATTCAACTCCCGTTTGTTTTCGAAAATGGTTTGAATTTGCCACCCTCAAGTGGGCTTAAAAATGCGAATTTGGCACCAAACATAGTGGGCTTAAAACCTGATTTGCCACAACATTCATTGAATTGTTCCAATTCAAACAACAAGCCTTCATCCACAGACATTCAAGCAGTTTTAGCAACTAAGCATATAGCCTCATGACAAGCATGCCAAACATGGAAATATGGCAATCACACTCATACAAGTATGCTAAAGCATAAAAACTTACCTAGTACTCCAAGCCAAAACAAAAACAAGTTAGAAATATGCATGATCCTAACTATGCTAAGTGCCTAATGCAACGCATGCAATAATGCAATTAATAGGCTCGGCTACTAATATGGCATTTGCAGCACTTTGATAGCATGCTTTGAAACACGTATTCAAAGAAGTATATTGAAATTGCAATGCAGTTTGAATGATGCGCCGAGCCTCGGTGCATGCAAGACAAATAAATGGATGCAAACATGCAAGCATAAGGTATGCTAATTAAAAATGTCCCTAATCTAACCATTAAAAGTGATTAAATAAAAGGGAGAAAGACGTGGGGTTGGAAGACATGCACACACGCACGCACATTTATTACAACATTATGCCCTCACGAAGGAGGGTTTGAATGAATAAGCTAGCTAGCTACGCTAATTAAGCTAACTAATTATAAACCAAAACTAATTAACTACTTTAGTTAAGTAATTATTACAACAATTGAAACAAATTAACTAACTATTCTAAGCTAGTTAAATATTACAAATCGGAATTGAAGAATTAGTTACACTAACTAATTAAGTACAACATTTGAATAAACTAGCTATTCTAAGCTAACTAAAGTAATTAAATGGCCTCGAAGGCGAGGGACGCATGCATGCTCGGGTGGTTTCCTCCCCAAAACCCATTGCCTTGCCATTGCAGCCTCTGTTTACACATTATTTGAACACTAACAGTGCCGCCAACTTCCAGAATGCCTCTACCCCAACTCAGGAGCACACTTGTGCAAAATTTCATTTATGGCTGGTCGGCTACCAATGGTGGTTGTCAGCTACAATTGGTGGCCGGTCGGCTGATACAGGTGGCCGGTCCACCACCCCTTCCCTGAACTTCTTTTTTTGTTACAACAGAGAGCAAACAGAGGCAAAGCAGTGTATTCTCAAAGAGTGTGTATACTGTTGCTCTCCTTATCATCACACAAGCTCAAAGGAGAGTAACTCTTGGCCCTCAAACCATCAACCAAGCATTTCCATGCATGATGGCTAAGGAACCAAGCTTGTACAAGCTTAATGAGTGCAAAACAAGACTCAACAAAACCATTACCCTATCATGTATGAACAAGGGTGATGGTGACCAAGAAAAGTGGCGCGTTTCATCACTTTGAGTATAAGATGTCCCATTTTTCTCGTGTTTGAATTAACGTCAGATTCGAACACATGCAATGCAATAAAAAAAATGCTTTATCTTGCCTCTTTTACTTGTTCATTTTTATTTACTCATTTTAGCTTACTAATCCATTCTTTAATTGATTAGTCCAAGAGGTGAATGTCCTCTAATTAAAAATAGGCTTAAACCACAAGTGTCTTGAGCATGAAAGAGACCTCATGCCGTTGGTAATGAACTCCCGAAGGAATTAAACCATTAAGCATGAATGTCTCCATTTCACACTCAAGCCAACAAGGGGTTCAAAGCCACTTTCAAAATAAATGAAAGAGTGAAGAATAGAGGGAGATTGCAGAGATTTTAGTGCTGAAATGGAGTGCAAAATGACACTACAGCATGCAGGCAACTCATGCAATTCATGTTAAAAAGCCTAAAACATTAAGCTAATAAAGCCTCTTTACACTACAACCACACAATACAAGCCTCAAAGGGCCAAACCAGCTCAAAACAGAGCTGAAACCAGTCAAAACAGTAACAAAAACATGCTGAGATTAAGGTACAAAATGCTAGAAAAACATGCTCACATGTTAAGCTATCTAAGCATGCAAACAAGACACAAGGAGGGGAGGCTAACCCCTCCAATTTTGGACTTCAAAACAAGGTTTTGGCCACTAAAATAATTCTGAATTTCTGTGGTATAAAGGCCCAAAAATTTTGATTTGAATATGCTAAAAGATGGTGCAAAAGTCTACATAATTAAGCAACAAGAAGGGTGGATCACCCCTTAGCACAAAATAGCCTCAAACCATCATGTTAAGCCTCAAAAAATAGAGTTTTTTGTAGTTGAAAATCAGCTAAAAAAAAAATACAAAAGGATGGCAAAATAAGTAGTGAAAGCAAGTACTCTAAGCAAGTGAACTACCTCTTGAAGTTCAAGCACAAAACAGCTCCAAATTCCAGCTCAAACCTCCTTTAAGAGCTCAAACTAGACTCCAAAGAACCTCAGCTCAAAGGTAAGAGTGTTTGGTTAAGGGTTGATGTGCAATGCTGTAGAGAAACAAGACTTTAAGGCACAAAATAAGAAGAGAGAGAAAGAGAATTCTAGAGAGAGAGAAATTTGATCCAAATTTTCTAACCCCTCTAAATGGAGAAGAGCACCCCCTATATATAGAAAACCAAGGTTGAAGCTTGAAATCATCCTACCATACACGTGTATGGAGATGCACTTCAGTGAACAACAACTGGCACAACTAGCAAACAAATATCTGAAAAAGGAGAGAATTGGCCGTCGGCCACCAACATAGCCGACCAGCCACCACTGATGGCCAACAGGCACAAGTCATGGCCGATAGGCTATAGGGCTGGCCGACAAGCCACCATCTCCTCCAGACTTGAAACAACAAGCTCTTGGTCCACAACCAAGCACAAAGAAGATAAGGTTCGAAGGCTCAAAGACGAGGCGCTTGGCCAAGATCTTCGGGTACTCAAAACGAACATGAGCATACAAAATCATCGAGTGTTCAAATGACGACGTCCAAGTCTCGAGGACGGTAAAAAATGGGGTGTCTACAGTTGCCCTCTTTGACAGAACTCGGAAGTCATGAAATGACGGGAGTGAATATCAAAGCCTAGAGACGACCCATTTTTAACAAGGCCAAAGACTTGGACAAACAGACAAGCAAAACAAAGAACGGTTGCGCCCGTAGGCTGCCTACATATCCCCTTTGCAAGGAATCAAGCCAGCGTAGTTCTGGAGCAAGATGCAAATGATATGCATGATGCAAGAATATAACTTATGATTATGCAATAAAGCTGTAATGAAACATCTAGATGTAAGTGCTATGCAAAGAAATGCTACATTTGAACAAACCGAAACATGGTACAACAAACTCAAACATGAACAAAAGTAAGTAAACACGCCACACGTGAAAAGCACAAGCTGAACTATATTTCATGCAGAAAAGGATGTAAGAAAATTATGCAATCTTAACTGTGCATCATGCAGGAAAGGCAAAGAACAACACAACCATCAGGTGCACCTGAGGCGTCAAACAAGATCCTAATGCATGGCACACGCGAGGAGAGAGATGGTGTGAACCCAGGGACACACCCGAATGTTCCTAACCAAAGGGAACAATGATAAATATTGGAACACGTCCAAATGTATGTAACCAAAACAAAGAGTGGTATAAGCATCGAAACCCGTCCGAATGCTTTTAACCAAAGTGTCCTAACGCGCCACACGCGAAAGGAGAAAATGATGGTGTAAACACTGGGTGTACTCAAATGTTTCTAACCGAAAGCGTCCTAATGTGTCACATGCGAGAGGGGAAAGGGAGTGGTGTAAACATCGAAACTCGTTCGAATACTTCTAACCAAAACAAGGAGTGGTATAAACATCGGAACTCGTCCGAATGCTTCTAACCAAAAGAAGGAGTAGTGTAAACACTGGAACTCGTTAGAATGCTTCTAACCAAAACAAAGAGTGGTGTAAACACCGGAACTCGTTCGAATGCTTCTAACCAACAAGGAGTGGTGTAAGCACCAGGCATACCCGAATGCTTATAACCAAAACAAGGAGTTCGAGGGATATGAATAATCTCACTTGGAATTCCTCTGAATGAACCATACATACAATATAGTCTGGTTGCACTAGCTTTGAATGAACCATACATACAATATCGTGCTTGCATAAGAAAGAAACTCAACAAGCATAACATAGCAAGAGTGCATGTTCTATGCAAGACGAATAACCATGACACAATGTTAGGGACATGTTTCATGCACAACATGCAAGGAACAAAATAGAAGCATATTTTATGCAACAAAAATTTGAGCATATTCCATGCAATAATAGCAAACATATGTTCTATGCAACAGATACGAACAGTTTCTATATAAATGAGAGCGCGTACAATGCAATACGATGCAACATGCATGTCCTATGCAAACATGAGAACATATACAATGCAATACACTGCAATATGTGAGCATTTTCCATACAAACATGAGAGCACGTACAATGCAATACAATGCAATAGATACGAACACTTTCTATGCAAAATAATGACAATGCATATCTTATGCAAAAGCATGTTCCACACTAAAGTACAAAACACATGTTCAATGCACAATTAAAAGCACGCTCTATGTTAAAGTACAAAATACATGACGCAAGCTTCACATATTCAATGAAGGAATGCGTAACTCATGCAAGAATGGAAATGCATTCTAAGGTGACAAGTTGAAAAGCAACTTTTCTGTCTACCTCGCAGAAGGGTTGCAATATACAAGAAGGATACAAAAAAGATACACTTCATCCAATTAGAGACAAACAATGATCACCAAGAGCACAGTTTGAAGCCTTTGCAAAGTGGATTCGAGCTCGACAGTAATTTTTCCTTGCACCTCTCGGGAAACAGGGACCAAAACAGTAGAAAACACCAAAATAGGAGCACTAGGAACTGAAAGGCCACCAGGGAAGGATGTCGGCCACCCATCGGCCACCCCTAAGCACTGCCGGCCACTAATTAGTCTTGTCGGCTACCGATGGCAGATTCAGGGCAGAATGGAAATCTCACCTTGGGTCTTTAAATATACACTCCCAAACCTCATTTCTTCACAACCTCAAGTCCGAAAATCCCTTCTCCCCCTCTCTAGACCTTCCTCCTCCTTAGATTCGAGCATTATACCTATTTTCCAACGCCCTGATAAACATTTTCTTCGCTAAACCCTCGTAGTTTACACCGTGTTGAACCGATTAAAAGTCAATTTCGGTGCCTTTTCCTTCATTTTCACCACTTGAGGTTTGTTTCCCTCAAGTTTTCTTTGGATTTAGTGGCTTTCCCGGGCTTTGACTTTTTTTGCCATATTCCCTCTCTGAGAGTTGACTTTTGTTGACTTTTGGCATTCTCCACCCATTTTCCCATTTTCGACAATTTTCTCATCTTTTTTCGAGATGGCGGACAACATCCCACACGATAGAGCTTCTTCGGAGATGGAGGTGGATCCAGAGCTTGAGCCATTGCCACTCAGCATTCAACCTTTTGACCCGGCGACATATCATCTTAAGATACACGTGCTACCACCAGATAGCATTCGTCAGTTCAGGGGCTTTGTACGAAGCGCACCAGAGGACCTCTTACTGCGTGAGTCAGAGTCTCATTTATCTTATGGCGCCTCTAAGGTATACACTACATTCTCACATTTTCCCAATGTACCTTGCATTGCTTGCTTAAATCATACTCTTGCACTGTATTACTTATATTGCCTTTCATCTGCTTATTCTGATCACAGGGGGATTCACACACCATCAGAGGATACGGGACCACCTTCGCGAGGGAGTGGTACATGGAGCTCCTTGACGATGTTCACTATATCATTGACAAGGTTGGCTTCGGCTCATTCTGCATGGGACTCTCATGCCTCATAGCAAGTCGGTCTTTACTGGGTGCCTTGGTAGAGAGGTGGTGGGATACCACTGATTCCTTTCACTTCTCTACCGCAGGGGAGATGACGATGACTCCCTTCAACTTCTCTATGCACACTGGCATAGAGGTGGGGGGTCATCCGATTCCTTACGATAATGGATATAGATGAGTGGGAGGCTGCCTAGATTTATCTGATGGGGGCATGCCCATCTATCTCTCAATCAGGGATGGTCCAATACACTTGGTTTGCAAATCATTACAAAAGGACAACACCAGCGACCCCGAGAGGAGACCGAGCAGTATGCCCGAGGTTTCCTAATCTTCCTCTTTGGTACTACCTTGTTTGCCGACCAGGTGAACACCGTCGGGCTATATCTTATGAGCGCCTTGGTGGACTTGTCCCGTGTCTGATTCTACAATTGGGTCAGCGCAGGCCTGGCCACCTTATACGGATACATGAGCTCGACCTCCTGCAGGAGCGGACATCTGATTGGAGGCTACTGGAGGGCTTGGGAGGTATGATTTACTTTTCTGTTTTGCATTTCCTATCGTGCTTTCTGCTTGGCATTTCCTGTATACTACACACACTGTATACTGTACACACACAGTTTGCTTTCTGCTTTACACACCATGTATCCTGCATTCCCTGCACATTGCATTTTTCTGGACATGACACACATACTTTGCTTTTCGCATTACTTGTATTTATCTATTGTATACTCACTGTTGCCCTTTCACTTTCTGCAGCTATGGGTGTATGCTTACTTTCCGACATTTGCCCCAGAGTCGGAGGTGGAGATGCCGTCTATCATACCATACTCTTACCGATATGATGAGAGATGCCAACGGTGGTCCCAAGAGTCCTTACCATTCTTCCGTTGATACTTCGACACTGTGACCGCGGCCAAGGTAACTCAAGATTCACTGTTATTTCTATTTTCCTTTGATTCTAATTCATATCGCAATATTTGATGACATCTAACAATCTGCACATTCTCTATTTACAGTCACTTGGCAGCCTTAGGCGATGATGCCTCAGGGAGTTAGAGATCAGTTCGCTGGTGCTCGAGAGGTTTCTCACTTTCGGCTTCTGCTCGAGGGCCCGGTTTGTCGGGCATGGTTCTTAGAGGAGCGGTTCTTATGCCAGACCATCGGCTTCCCCGAGCCGGTAGTTCCTATGCCACCTCTGACATATATGAGAGCCACAGAGAAATTCACTTTTCAGGAGATGATTGATTTCACCAGGGGCTAGGATGCCAACTTTTTTCGAGTCGAGGGTGATTACACAGCGTTCATCCAGACATAACTTATGCCACCTCTGACTGGCACTCGTCGAGGCAAGAGAGTGAGGGCTCTAGCTACGAGAGAGAGAGGTAGAGGGGCTAGGGTGACCTGGACCCGTGGCAAGAGAGATGTTTGGACGAGACAGAGGATGGGGTGGCCAGAGCTGCCAACCACACTCACCTGTTGGCTGCATACCGGAGAGGCTTACTAGATCCCCATTGAGCCTGCACTAGCCGGGCATGAGCTTGTTACCACACTTTACATTTTGTATGTTCAATTCATTTTAGCTATGCTTTATAGAACACTGATCTTCTCAACGCACTTTCAGGCATCTATAGAGTACATCGGGGAGGCTCTCGAGCTAGTGGTTTCCCTAATGAAGATGGTGCAGAGGAGCATAAACCTGCTTAGCCTATATAGGATTCCGGTAATTTCCTTCAGTTCACACTTCATGTCATAAACGTTTCTGCTAATACATTAGAATTTCAACAGTAATCTGTTCCACACTGCACTGATCTGATACACTGCATTTATACACTCATCTGATATACATCGCGACTGATGTATTTGACCAATTGCCCTTTTCAGATCCCAGCCCCACTAGACGCTCCAGCAGGAGCTGCAGCAAGACCATCAGTGCCTACTCCGGTTGTAGGGAGAGAGTGACGGGAGGCTTCTACACGCAGCTGAGGGAGAGTTAGGGGCACCCGTGATGAGAATGGCCCTTCAGAGCTCGTTCTGGACGATGATGATAATGAGACAGACGACGACAAGGAGACAGCGAGTCTATAGTCAAAGTCATCTGAGGATGGAGAGGACGACGTTGACTCAGATTCTGAGGAGGGAGATGATGCTGAGGCAGGTTCAACAGCTAACTCAGACACGGGGGCCTCTGACAGTGGCGCCGATGGAGATAGTTCTGAGTCCATGCCTAGAAAGAGGATGAAGAGGGCCTCTCGATCTTAAGGTGGATGGCACCAATTCATATGTTTTTGCTTAGTCTCTTTTTGCTAGTAGTGTTAGCACATTGTACAGTTTTAGACAGTTTTATTTTCTTAAAAACTTGCACACTTTTGTGAAAAGAAACCATGATTGGAATGAAAATTAGCTTTTGAAAAAAAGTGTTGTGTTTTACATTCTGAGCATCATATTGCACCACATTGCACAAAAACGTGATTGATGGAAACTGAACTTTGTACATTGTATTGGCAATTTCTTAATCAGGTAATGAACTGACCAATACATAACAAACAGAGTAAAACAACTCAATGAACAGCTAATGATAACAACTCGACAAACAATGCAACAACTCGATATGCAAAACAACATTAATACAACTCGATAAGCAACACAACAACTCGACAAATAAATCGAAACAACACAAAAGCGACTCAACAAGACTACTAAAACTGAACAACATAATGTGCCAAGAGCCGAACAAAACACAAGCTCTCAACACATAGAAATTGACTAGAGGACAGATTAGAGGAGAAAATAGGAGGCCATCGGCTAGGAACAGAGGTTGTCGACCACTAGTGGTGGCTGTCAGCTACCAAAGGGGCCGGTCGGCTACAAAAGGTGGCCGGTCGGCCACTAGTGCAAGGAGCCTCCACATTACTGCCACCTGTCTTCCACTCAGTGCCTTATCTTCTACAAAAGTTGGATTTCGTAGTTTCTTCATTCCAGCTCTGTTTTTGCCATAGATGGAGCCATTCTTCACCGAAATACTATCAAATTGGCTTGCAACTTTAGATGGTTGGGAAAAAGTGAATTTCTGGGATTTCGGATAAATGCACTATTCCCGCTAAGTCGACCCCTCTGTGTTTTCCGTTCCTTCATGCCGCGGCTAGGTGTTGGAACCCGATTATACATGTTTTCAGCTTTGGAGGGCAAGAGATATGCCCCACAATTGAAGAATTCCAAGTTTTGATGGAATCCCGGCATGACGAGAAAATCTTACCTCAATCTCGTTTTGGTGACATCCAAGCTTTAGGAAGGATGTGTGGGCTCACTTCAGATGAGGCTCATTCCTTGGTTCACAATGGGGAGCTGGATATCCCCAAGTTGATTCATCGATTTTCTCACGCTGGTGACCGCAGCGACTGTCTTTGGTAGAGTTTTTGGCAGCATGCCCTTTGCTTGTGTATGTTGGCTCATTTCCTGCTTGCCCATGGTTTCGGAGGGTCTAGCGTTCGACTGATCGAAGTGGCCCAAGGCTTGAAAGAGGGCAAAAGCTGCATTGGCTTGACATTACCCGAGACTTTGATAGGCTTGGACGCCTTCAATCGGCGAGAGACAACAAATTGGCAGAGAATCCACTACTTTTACAGGTAATGTTTCCCATCCTATCTCACATGTGTTTCTCACATCACTCGGCACTCATGCTCTGTTTTTCTCTCAAAACCCGTTCTCACATTTTCTCTCCACATACACCTCTCTATTATTTAATTTCTCTTATTTTTCTCATCCCTCCCCAGATATGGCTCATGGATAGGTTAAGGGTAATGGATTCTTGCCCTGCGTATTCAGCATGAAGCTATTTCTTTCGCCAATGGCTAGTCGATTTCCCAAACGAGGGATGATGGTGCCATTGGATGTGCAACAGGTCTGTCGCTGACATTGCTTAGCATTGCCCTTGTCTCGATCTACCTGAGATGAGTTACAGTATGTCTCGACAACCTGGTATTCAGTTGATTGGCTTGACACACTGTGTCTTCTATTTTCTATTTTGATTCCAGCGTCAGTTTGGACATGACCAGACTTGCCCAGAAGAAGGGGTAGAATACCTGGCTTCATTTCCAATCCGAGGCTCAAAACTAGCTCAATATCCCACTGCATGGAGGACAAGAGAACTTTTGGCTTCCACTCCCAATTTCAGTTGCGCCCTCTCTGGCAAATACATAGCTTGGCTTGAAGATGAGGCGCAAACCAGGCCTACTTTAGCATCTAAAGCTTCCACAAGCTCTGGGAGGGGACATAGGAACATCTGACTCATCTGTGCCCCAAGTTTATTGCTTTGATCTAACTTTCAAGTTTTCCTTTGAATATAATAAAGGCAACTTTGATTTGTATAGGGAGTTAGAGAACTTTGTATTGAAATCAATGAAATTGAAGTTGTGGGTACTGAAAATTTTCCTTTTGGTCCGAAATTGGTCTAAGTTATAAAAAGATTAATTTGAACCAAATAAACTTTTATTAAAAGTTTTCAAAATTATTTTCGATACGGATCACAACTTGACGCACATGGAATTTATTCTCGAGATGTACAACCCCGAATCCAGCAAATGGAAAGTTACCCTTTGTTTGAATAGCACTGCACTGCACTTTAATCAGCTCTTCTCTCAGGGTAAGGATCACAACCAAACTTTTAGATAACGAGCAGGAAAAGATGCCTTGATCAGACACATGGACACAGTTGATTTAGAAGTGTTTATGGCTGAACTTCAGAATAAAGTTGCCTATGTATCCTGCAGATGGGAATCAAGCCTTATGTAGTTTGGTTCGAGTTCACTTGGGTATTAACACTCTCCTTTTACGCTCTAACATTTGCCAAGGCCGCCTTTTCTGGGTTTTCAACCTTGCGAGCTCAGTTTTTCTTATTTCAATTTTTTTGTGCTCTAACTTTTGCCTAGGTCGCCCTTCCGGGTTTTTGGCCTAGAAAGCCACTCAAGGATAGTATTTCTTCAACTTGTCCATGTTGATTGGTTGGGAGAATTCTAGGCCATCTAGGTCCATAAGAATGACAGCTCCACCTGACCAAATGGATTTGATGATGTAAGGACCAGTCCAATTAGGTCTGAACTTGCCCCTAGGGTCATGGATGGGAGCTGGGTTGTCCTTGAGCACCAAATCCCCTTCTTTCAGATTCTTGGACTTAACTTTCTTGTTGAAAGCCCTAGCAATTCTATGTTGATAATATTGGACGTGGTACAATGCTTTCAACCTTCTCTCGTCGAACAACATTAGTTCCTTGAACCTGTTTTGCTTCCAATCCGCTTCTACTATCTGGCACTCAGCCATAACCCACAACGATGGAACCTCTGTCTCAATCGGCAGAACAGCTTCTATCCCGTAAACTAGAGAATGCGGAGTTGCCCCAGCAGATGTTTGAATTGAAGTCCTGTAGCCCCCGAAAGCAAATGGCAATTTGTCCAGCCAGTCCCTGTAAGTTTCCACCATCTTTTGTAAAATGTGCTTCATGTTCTTGTTGGCGGCCTCAAAGCTCCGTTGGTTTGCGGCCGATATGTGGATGACTTATGATAAGCCACGTTGTACTTCTCTAACAAGTCGATCACTTCTTTTTTAAAGTGGGAACCATTGTCTGAAATGATCTCATTCGGGACCCCACAACGACAAATGATGTTATTCTTGATGAACTTGGCTACGTGCGACGCTTTTAGCACTGCATAGGTTTGGGCCTCGACCCATTTTGTAAAATATTCTATTGCCACTAGTATATACTCATGCCCATTCAAGCCTTTCGGCATAACTGCCCCAATAACAACAATTCCCCAAACTGAAAACGGCCATGGCGAAGTCATGTTGTACAGCATCGATGACAGGATATTCATGCGATTTGCATGAATCTGACATTTATGGCATCGTCCAACATAACCAATACAATCCTCCTCCATGGTTGACCAGTAATAACCTTGCCTGAGAATCTTCCGGGCTAGCATTACTCCGCTCATGTGTGCTCCACACTCTCCCCCATGGATGGCCTCCATTAGGCGTCTCGATTCTGCTGCATCAACACACATCTTGTGCATTCCCAGATGGCCTCGTTTGTACAATTTACCCCCGCAGATGATAAACTAAGCAGCCATTTGCCATATTGCCCTTTTATCTTTGGCATTTGCCCCTAGTGGATAAGCTTCTTTTTCCAAGAAGTTCCAGATGTCATGATACTAGGGGTTTTGATCTTGTACTTCATCTATCGCAGTGATCAACTCGTAGGCCGGCACATACCTCTGTTCAATAATGATCGAACGTATCCGGACTCCCAAAGGGATGTCTATCATGGAAGATAGAGTTGATAAAGCGTCAGCGAACTTGTTGTTTTCTCTTAACAGATGCATGAAGGTTAGCTTCTCAAACCTAGGAATTAGAACGTCTAGGGTTTGGTGATAGATTTTCATCATTTCTTCCTTAACCTTCTAGTCTCCTTTTGTCTGAGACACAACGAGGTCCGAGTCCCCAATGACTTCCAACCGTTTTGCCCCTAGTTCCAGGGTGGCTTCCAAGCCAGCAATACATGCCTCGTATTCTGCTTCGTTGTCAGATACCTTAAACTAGAGTTTGAAGGCTAAAAGTGTATAGGAATTGTCGGGTGCTATCAACAACACTCTTATCCCATAACCGTATTGGTTAGACGCTCCCTCAAAGTACATGGTCCAAATTTCTTCCTCGACCTATAGAATAGCTTCATTTGGGAACAAAATACTCTCCTACTTTGTCCCCTTCCACTGGGTGATCGGCTAGGAACTCCTCTACGGCCCTTCCCTTAACAGACTTGCGGGTCACATATTTCAGATCAAATTCGGAGAAAAGAAAAAACCAACGGGCTAGCCTATCCATAAGCGCTGGTTTCTCAAAGAGATATTCGATGGGATCTAATCTCGAAACCAGAATTACAAAGTGAGCTAACAGGTAGTGCCTCAACTTCTTGGTAGCCCATACCAAGGCTAAGCAAGCTTTCTCCAGCAAGGTGTAACGGGTTTCATATTCCAGCATCTTCTTGCTCAGGTAATAGATGGCTTTCTCCATTCTATCCTCAGATTCCTATGCAAGCATGCAGCCCATAGTCGTGTCGGTTACTGACAGATACAAAATCAATGGCTTCCCCAGCTCTGGCGGTGATAACACGGGCGGGTTCTGAAGGTACTGCTTGATCTGCTCAAAAGCAACCTGGCATCGGTCATCCCATTAG